CCCCCCAAACTCGGGACCCCCAACAGAGCCATCTCCGCCCCTCACCTCTGATACAATGTATCACAGTCAGTCACGTGTCTCTCTTATGGCCATAATGATCCGCCCCGCACAGCCATTCGCTGCCGTCTCCTTCACGTGATCACGTGAGTTGTTAAACTGATCTGACGTCACCACGCCCTGCCGTTTGCCCTCCATACGTGATCTTCAGGCTGAGAGAGCGCCACACACAAGATGGCGGCCTGCAGGAAGTGGAGGTGCCTGACTGAGTCCTGAACTCTGCCTCTTTCTACAGGCAAACTGCTGCTCAGGTGTCCAAGGCACGATGCTGCCCTGGTACATTGTTAGTAAATTGGATCCTAATATGAAATGTATTTATTTTTTCTCTCATACATGACTATAGAGGTAAAGTATTATATTTGTATACAAGATTTATATACTGCTAACAGTTCGCACAGTGCTTTACAATATAAGATGACAGGGTTTTGTTAGGTGGGTCTTGAGGGTCAGGGCCGGGCCGAGGCGTAGGCAGAAGAGGCGGCTGTCTTAGGTGCAGAAACGGAAGGACCTGCACCCAGAGTTGCTCATAGTGGGGGTGGAGTGCCCCTTGTCCCATGGCCCCTTGGGTCAAAATGTATCTAAACCTTCCAAAAAAAGATGATATACATCCTGGCAGTCCGCTTATATGTTAGTTCATCTATTCCTATTCTTGTGCAAGCTGATTAAAGAATCTGACCCCAGGCTTCCATTACCTGGGTGACAACGCTGCCTGCCTGCAGCTTGTACGCAGCGTTGTGACCTGAAGACACGCACTCCCCCCTGTGGCCTACAACTGGACGTTGCCGAGGCTCGGTGTGCGTCCCGGCATTGTCCTAAAACATCGCCATTGATGAACCGGAGAAATGCTACAGATCGATTTGTGGAGGAAGATCGCCGGGTGTCACCGTGCAACGAGCGCGCGCTCACACAGGAAGTCATGTGACCTGTACAGCGCTGAAATGATTTCCAAGTCTTTAAAGACGTCCAGCGATCCCGATCTCCTCTCTGCGGGTTCTGGAACGCAGTTAAGGATTCTGAGAAGTTTATTTGAACTTTATGGGAGAACTATGGGGTCAGGGCTTTCCCCCATAGTTCTCCTTAGGGTAACGGGAGGACACAAACTAGCGTCCTCCCGTCACCCTAGGCTCAGTATATAGGGAGCTGCTGCTCGCGGTATACTGAGACGCCGCAGCCGGAGCGGATCCCGACAATTGTGCCGGGATCCGCCCAGCTGCGTGAGT